TTATTTATTGCAATGACATAAATGATTAGCAAGAACTTGGTTAAAATAATGAAATACATGTAAATAAGATAGATGATAGAAATTCACCTTATAAATAGCAAGTTACAAGACTGTACCAAGCGTGGTACAGTGTTCATCTTTCCAGTATTGTAAGCAAACCAGACACTTGATTGATAGTAGCGTCTTCACGCACACAATCTATATGCTAATGTTGTTGGAAACCGATCTCTTTTAAGAGGCTGCATCCTTATTATGTAAATCTACACGGCCGATTTGCCTAATCCGTAATCGGACGTTTCCGAAATCTAAGGGTGTTTTTGGCTTCCTCAGGGACGTTTTGGGATGTTTACTTAAATCGCGTTTCACGATATTCACATGCCCATAAAGTTATATTTTTGTAATATTAAGTACGGTTTAATATTAAGTACAAAAATATTTCATTGTATTTGTTTAGTTATATATGTAGGTACGTAGGGGAGGGTGGGGCAAGACGGGGTAGCGAGGTAAGACGGGGTACCCCCCTTACAGAGAAAACAAAATGAACCTCAGTCAAAACAATAATACTAGTAATTAGCTATTACATGATCGCCTGCTCGGTCGCCTGAGAACCACCGCAGTGAGACGTGGCGTTTAGATATTTGAGCGAAAAAACTAGTTTTGACCTGTTTACTTATTATTTTCAATTGTTGTTAACTACATGAAAAAAATATTAAATTGATGAGTGGTTGCTGTTATTGCTATTTTTTTTTTGGAAGAGTAAAAAAGCATAAAATAAGGTGAGAATATTTCGACCGCTTAAATTTATTATTTCTATTTTTTATTATTTTTTTATAAAATTAATACCCGAAGGGGCAATATGGTATATAGGATACCCCATCTTGCCTCATCCGAGTCTAATTTTGTATTTTTGAAGAATGGGATGGACCTACGTGCGGAAAACCAGTAGGGTGAGTTGGTCAGAGCAGGCAAATGGCACTCCGAAATTTCAATTAGAAAACCGGAGAATACTTCAGCTGCAGGACTTAATAAAATAGCTGTAGATAAATGTTTAATTTGTTAGGCTGAACCCTCGACCTCAAGAAAATTTCTCCTGACAGAATATATAACACAGACGAGACTGGGGTATCCATCGTTCCAAAAAGTAAATATAAAATTATCGCCAGAACAGGGAATAAGCAAGTTGGATCTTTATCTTCAGCTAAAAGGGGAGCTACTATCACTGTAGTGTTTAGTTTCAGTGCATTTGGGTACTACATGCTACCAATGATGCTATTTCCTCATAAAACGATGAAGCCAGAACTGATGATAAATGCTCCCCAAGGTACGTGGGGTGTTTGCAGTGAGGTAGGCTGGATCACAACAGAGGTGTCCTTGCAGTTCATCCCCGTAGTAGTTTAGTCCATTACTTATAATCATATTAAACTTGAGACTGTTTTGTTATATTTTAAAACCATTTGTTTTTAGTTTCTAACTGTATTTACCGTAGCAGCTATTGTTATTTTACGTACATCGTCGTGCCCTTTAGGGTACCCCGTCTTACCCCAGGTATGGGGCAAGATGGGGCAAAGTGACCTTTTCGCTTTAACTATTGATTGTGAGAAAAATAATAGGCTAATTTGAGTCTATTGTTATTTAAACAATAAACCGATTACCAAAGTTTGTAAAACTAAAGAAAATATGGTTGTCCCTATTTAAATGTGAGTTTTATTCAGTGTCAAACCTTAACTACCCCGTCTTGCCCCACCCTCCCTACCTAAAGTAAATAATGTCGTAGGTAACGGCCGAAACCTTAGATAATATTAGGTATAGTACTACTTGTATTTAAGAATATTAATAAAAAATAATCTAAATTATACTTGTATATGTACTATATAATTTTTAAAATGTGAGAAAGGCTAAAACTTACAATTTATTTTTTTTGTATTGCATTTGTATTATACATGAGGTTTATGGACATTTGCATATTTGTTTGTACATTACAGATTCATTACCTAATTCCTCGTACTGGTAACGGTGATGAATCTTTAGTGACTGATATTTGGAGTTACCTTATCTTTATTCCTCACCTCACATACCCGCGTTATGATAGGTAGGCTATCAGAGTTTATGAATTGTGTAACAGATTGTATGAGTCATGATAATGGCACTCAATTTCGGATTAAACGGAGATAAAATCTAGAACACGTAAGTAATATTCTAAGAACATATTTATTGTAGTGATATTGAGTGTATACCTGCAAACTGCACGTAAAATGCTGTCGCCAAATTACTATGAAGCATGCAATCTGTAGATAGCTATGGACATATCAGCTCCATAATATGCCTTCTGGTTTCCTACTTAAAAATGATATATCTATGTCGTTGAAAACCGTACATTGTTTCTTTAACTGCCTTATTTACTATTTTGATTATTATAAAATCAGGCAATGTTAAAATTATTCTGCGGATGACAGGCATTAATGTAATGTAAAACACTACTGATGCAAAATAAATTAATATTTTTTTCATATGTGAGAGTCATGGTATAGTAATAACTGCCTACCCAGACTTAAACATCAAAGTTTAAAAAAAATAACGCACAAAGTTGTAAGTAAGTAATGGAAGCACCGATCACAAACCAAAATCAAAGAGGCGACTGCCTTATACTCTGCTAAGCACGCCGCTCTCCTTGGATTCGATATTGTCCTAGCAAAATGTTGGCATGCTCTGTTGCAGTCATCACAGCGGGCGTCGACAATAGAAGATGTATTTTACTATCCACATTGACATTATACTGGTAAAGATATGTTATTATTATTATATTTTTTTATCAAAGCCGCAGGTTATAGACAGTTAATTAATAAAGAAAATAACGTAAAATTATTATACACATGTATATTATGTTTCTACATATATACGCCCATCCCTATATCAAGTTTAAATAAGACATGAAGAGGCATTTTAGGAAAGTTTAGTGACGGTTGAAAGTTTGCTCCCTGAGCTCGCTTGTTTGGCTGAAACTTAAAACCATATAAATAGTGCTCCCAGTAGAGGAATTACATTTTATTTTATAGACTGCTTGTTCCTTTTGGGGTATTTACCTACGTACTCTGGGTAGTTGTGCTGTCTTCTTTATTATTTATTCTTATTTAACTGCTGACATAAAATAAAGCCGAGGCTAATTTTATTACCTTGTTTTTTGAAATACTATTTAAAAGCTGTTTTGGCCGTATTTGGCTTTTGACCACCGGACAAATATTAGGGGCAAGTGCAGAGGGGACAACAAACCTGCAGAAGGATCTATGGAGTGGCTAAAAAAAAATTACAATATCTGCGTGATGGATATAACATAAGTCTGATGACACAACTAGGGGCTCGTACTTCAGTTCAGGCCATCATAATCGCGGTGCTCGTTTGAGCAGTTCACAGGATCTATTGGAGAAGTCAAATTTGTTCAGTATATTCATATAAAATAGGTATCTTATATGATCTCCAGGAAGTACATCCATAATTGGGAATATGTAGATAATAGCGTGGTACACAATCTTAAAATGCAAATAGGTATTTCCATTACAATATGTATTATGTATGTGTCCTTGCATCTAATCTTGCGAAACCCTTGGTGGTAACAGTTTTATAAATATCTAATCGAGGTTGGATTTACATGTCATAATATACAGCGTAGTGTTACTTAATTCTAATTGTATAATAAGTATTATGTTTTATCCAATTAGGTGTTATTTTGGGGAAGTTCATTTAATTGATTTATATTATTTTGTTTAGTTCTGCTACAATTAACATGTTTGAGACCACAAATATTCAGTGGAAACTTGACTATCGTTACTACCTTGTATAATAGTTATCAAATTGCTGCCGTTATTGAGTCTACACCCATATTTCGACACCTATTTCGCCTCTGAACGAGGCATCATTACGCATTGAATAGAGTTCGGATATAGCTTGGACGTCTAGTGTTGAGACACTTCAAATTACCGACCTAACCGTACCCAACACATTAGGATGTTAACAATTAATATTATTAGACATTTATGATAAAGTGCTGTTTGGATTGTTTTAATGGATAAATATTTAGTGGTGCACTGGTTGCGCTCACTTTATTTTGCGCACATTTTATCAAGTTCCACTGCTGGCTGGGCATCAGTTGAACTTGATAAAATGAGGACGAAATCATGCCAGTTAGTTAGTTAGTAGATCGTGCTAAATATACCAAGAATTGGTAACCACTAAGGTTTTTAGGGGTGTATGTCGACCTGACAGTATATATTGCAAGCAATGCGACAACTCACTAACAATCTCTCCCTTCTCATAATTTATTATAAGAAATTTTTATTCACATCAAAATCATAAATATCAAAAATTATACAACTTATTTTTTTAAATATTAGACGTTTAGAGGTTTTTTCAGCTGAATTTCTATTTAGAAAATTATAGTGGAATTGAAAAATACGAACGAAAAATACGATACGATACGATACTATAATGATACGAGTACAGCTATATATCAATCAAATAATTAATTTCTATTTTAGTATCATAAGTTCAGTATTTGAATATGACATCCACTTATATGAATTATACACTAAAGACAACATATATGAATAATTTGTTCCAGTATTTAATTCAGGAACAATATCATCTTTTATTATGAGTATAATATAATAATAATAAATAAAGTTTATTTAGTAGTCATTACTCTTATCTATTATCTTATTACAATTTTATGGACACAATATATGGAATAATAAGTACTACCTTCATAAGACTCGCACGGTTTCATGAGAGCAATTCTTAGATACTTACCTACTATTTAACATAAATACTTAATTATGATCAACAGGTTTCATAAAAACTGCAGTTGATGTACTTTATTTGTCATTATGCAGTAATCAGAAAACATAAATTATATCAAAAGTAAAAAATCAAGTCTGTAATGTACATATTTTAATTTATTTAATTTGAAAGCAATCAATGAATTATTAATATTATTGTTCAAAGAAAACATTATTTAGGAAGCTCTTTACACTTTAAAGTTGACCTGCGTTGGGGCAAGAACTGCAATTCCTCTCGACGTCCACTGCTTTCACCTCGTTCGATTCTGCTGTTATATCTAAATTGCGACCCCATTTTCTGTGAGGCAGTGGCTATAATAGAAGCTACAGTGCATGACGGATGGGGTAAATCTGGTAGTTGAGAGATATAATATTCCCGCATTTTTTTCCGTTCATCCGATTCCTGGACGCATTCGCTCAAGTCAGTTTCAATTGTATCACAACTATTGAATCCGAAGGAGCTATCACCATAGGAAACAGAAGAGTCACTGGATGTTTCTTTAGACGTTTTGAAGTGTGCTCCGTGATAAGATAGTCTGAGATGTGAGTAATCGTCTATGAAAAACCCCGATACGTTATCTGTTGTTGACAACGTACCCGATGTTTCACTTTTATTCTCTTCTGTGTTCATTTTCAATGGAATTAAGACATTTAACACTAAAACAAGATATAGAATATGATAAGTCAATGTGGAATATTAATATTACAGTCATACCAACAAACAATTTTCGTTAATTCACAGAGACTAAAATTTTATATTCTACCCCCCAAATTGATTTCTTCAATCTATATATTTTTTTTTATTTATATAGTATTGGAGGCAATTATACCTGTCCATACAGCTTTATCTTGTTACATTTATGAAATTTTTCAGATAACTATTAGGTAATACTTATTGATAAATGCATTTTCGTATCAAAATAGAAATTAGAATTATAATGAATTATTACGAAGTAACTACAAGTGTTGTTATTAACTTTTAGAAATAAATTCACAATTTATTAATTTATTTAATATGAAATAATTATAATTATAAAAAATACTATATGTATTGTTGTTTGTGAGGAGAAATAATTAAATCATATTATCATAATAACGAAATTCAAATTAGGATCCAAAATAATTTCATAATACAATAGATCTACTAAGATTAATTAAGCGCGTTCGATACGTGGATTGTATTATAACAATAGTATTTGTAAATTGTGTTTTGGTAGAAGAGTGAAATATGGTAGTGAAATTTTGACATGGAAGAATGACTGAATGAATGCCTTAGTCCTCTAGAATTGGAATGACATGAATGATCTCATGGGTGTCGCAGGATTACCACCATATGGTCCGCCAAATCGTTTGCGAATTATATAATAAAAACACAATATACCACAAATGTTGAACGCACTTTTCATCGGCAGTCGAGTAATTTACTGAACCTACTAAAGATTCCGGACATCGCATTAAAAATATACTATCAAAATATTGCTCGACTATAAAGTATATCAGATAGTCTAGAAAATCTGAAAAGTATTTATATTATATAAATGTGATATAGTTTGGGGACTGGTATTTGAATTCAATAAGTGTTTTTGATACAACCACTTTTTTGATGCAAGATGATTTATTATGGTCGCAATGAATTAGATATATCCTAAAAGTAGGTTTTTTTATACCACGTCGGTGGCAAACAAGCATACGGCCCATATGATGGTAAATGGTTACCGTAGTCTATAGACGCCTGAAACACCAGGGGTGTCAAATACGCGTTGCCGACCCTTAAAAAACCTTAATATACTCTTTTTGAAAAACCTCATGCTGTAGTCTCTCGAGAAAACCTCGGCAGGTAGTTCATTCCACAAACTAAGTGTACGCGGGAGGAAGCTCCTCTGAAACCGCTCTGTCCGAGACCACTTAGGTTCTAGTGTGTGGGGATAAATTTCCTGTCGATGGCGAGCGGTGCGATGGTAAAAGGTAACCGTAGGCAACATGTCAAACAATTCTTCAGAACACAGACCGTTGTATATCTTATATAAGAGAAGTCTCTGGTTCGCAGTGAAGTACTGCCTCGCTCTATTCTTGCTTGACCTTTTCTTCGAGGTGACCACGGAACTCAACTGTGTTAGAGATGTCGATACCGAGAATTCCAATGCTCTTAGAGATGGTAATGGGCGTGTTCTGGAATTGAGGAGCCACAGCAAAAGGAGTTTTCTTAGCGGTGAACGCGCAGGCTTGTATCTTGGTAGGGTTGAATTGAACCAAGTTCCATCGCCCCCAATCGGAGACTCTGGTTCAAGTACTCTCGATTTCAGATACAAGCTGTTCGCGGTTTGACTCCACAACGGAACGGAAGAATGTTAGCACGGCCCGTAAAATGCGTCCCCAGTACTGTCATCTATATAGCAATGAATGTTAACTATAGTTAATAAAACATTTATACGCAGCAGAAACAGTGAGAGAGCTGGGCCTTGCGGGGCACCAACATTTATTAATGCAATATCCATGCTATCGGAGCAACTACCGTCGACCACGGTTTTGATGCATCTGCCAGACAAAAAACTATCGACCCATTTGCATAATTCTTCTGGTATTCCCTACGAAGGCAATTTCGATAGAGGATCTTGATGCCAAACCAGATCGAATGCCTTCTCAATATCAAGGCTGACTGCCAACGCCTCACCTTTGCTCTCGATGGCAAGAGCCCAGCGGTGTGGAAGATACACTAAAATATCACCAGTTTAGCGATTATGGAGGAAGCCATATGTTATACAATAAATAAGCAAAATATGACATCACGTTTGGTTAATCCAAATAAAAACAATAGTCATCTTTACGTCGATAACGTGTACAGTTATACCGTTTTGGGAGATTACTTTATTGTACAAACGTTTTTTTATCATACACTTCAATGATCGAAGAAGATGAAATCTATGAATTATCTTATCATTACAATATATAAGTCTGTATCCCCGATGTTCGAATCATTGGTTAATAGTAACAGCATCAGCAAACATGAAAGCGTGCTTTGTTTTACTCGCCTTGGTAGCCGTTGCCTGCTCGGCACCTCAGCAGCGCAAGCTATTCCATGAACATTTTGAAGATTTTCTAATCGTTATAGGAGAGTCTGCAGGCCAGGAATTGACAGAGCTTGCGGAGAAATACTTTGAGTTTGAAGAGTTCCGGGCAACTATCGACTATATAGCGAGTACAGATTTTAAAAATCTCGTTTATGAGATGGAGTCACTACCGGAATTCAAAGCTGTAAGTCATTTAAATATTTACTAGCGGTTACTCTTAACTTCATGTACCTTTTATTACATAAAATATAGCTTAAGTTCATCCTCGTGATACAATCTATCTTCATATGAAATATCATTTAGATCTGTTCAGCCGTATAAAGATCACAAACAGACAGACATATTTTCAAAATACTTATATTAAACGACCCAGTTACTTTAAATTTGATAGAAGCAAATATTTTGTTCTTTGCAGCCTATTAGTTAATAAGCCAGGAAAATAGTAAACTAGTAATAGCGACATAATTTTTACGGCTACGGGAGTTTGTAAATCTTCTTCTAGATTTTACCTATATAAACAATCTTTTTGCTAATATTTATGTTCTACAGTTAGCTGGATATGCGTTTTGCTAATTAATTACCATTTACTATCTTATGTAACAAAATTGATGTCTAAACATGTTTAGGAGCTATGAGTTTTTATATAACAGATATCTATGAATTATATAAGTTTTCCACGAGTGCGTATAGATAATAATATATTTGTGATGAGTTAGTTGAAGTTAACACCAATGGTTTATATCAGTTATGATAAACTTTAATGATCATGGCTTTTTTTTACCTAAAGCCAAATAACGAATGAAATGATTCATTTTGTAAGTAATTGAAATTGGAAAACAAAGTGAAGTCTCACCTGGTAGTAAGCAGTGGGTACCCGTGGCATATTATTATACAGCTGTATGGACATTACGATATCATGTGACACCCTTGATACCACTTATGCGTTAACATTCTAAAGGACTAAGATGTATTATCTAGTAATTTCACTACCTCATTTACCTTACAGTCTGCCTAGTCTACATTTTTTATAATGACATCTAGTAACAGTAGAATGTTTAAAAATAATTTACTAAATAGGAATTGTCCTATACTTTAAAGTTATAGCTCTGTAGATATATATATTATAGACCTTATCTCTTTGTAATAAAAAAATAAATTTACGAGGGTCCTCGAGGAAGTTGCACCTTAATCCACCCTCGGCACCGCAACTGACTTTTACTAGGCTTCTTAATACAACTATTTTAACCATTTAGTAAATTTTCGGCCCAAAGAAAATGATTAACGAAAGTAGACTCTGGCCTAGTAAATCCCATATATTTTGTTAAGATTGGAGTTGACTTCGTATAAAACACTTTTTTTGCTTCACAGGTAATCGATTTCTTGGAAGCGAACAATATCGATATTTTATACTTCATCGATAGATTCAACACTCTGCTTGGTAAGTAATATTATTTATTATTAATTTATTAAGGCGTTATAACACAGATTCGTAGTTATATGTGCTCTAAATTGTTAAAAATAGATTAGAGTCCAGAATAAGTATTAAATAAGTAGCATTAAAATTTCATCTGTAAAAACGGGCTTAAATTCCTTTTTACAGACAAATTTTAAACCTCTTGTCTCATGTTAAATAGGTAGATATTTTTTATTTCTCTTACAAGTTTAGTAATCTTTTACTTTGTTAATTAACATTAGAAGACGACTTTTCTATGAAAAAACTATTTTTTCAGTTAGGTGAAATGATTTTGCATTTTTTATTTTTCTTCCCTAAAAACTGCACTACCTCCATTAATATTATATTTATTATTTTACAGAGGAAGGACCAGGTGGTCCTCCTATGTCAAAGGGTGCACGTGTAGAACCTAGTGGAACAGATTTTACATCGTTTATCAAAGATAACATTGACTTGTTCCCGAAAGACGATCTCTTTGCTCTGTTTGAACAGAAGATCGCTGAAGATGCAGATTTTAAGTCAGCCTTCGATAATTTGAACAGTGATGAGTGGAGAGAGATCTTTGGTGCTTTATGGGAGAGTGAACAGTTTTTGGCTGAAGTTCAAACTTTGGCTGACAATGGAATCGATGTTGGAATCCTTCTTTATGAAATTGTGGCAATCTTTGGACTCAATTAAATATTTATTTATAGTCCAACTTGTGCATAAACCATGTAAAAAATAAAACATAATAATTTATTCACACACGTCCGATATCTTTTAATTAGTTCCCAAGTTCGCATCACGTACTGAGCTGGACAAAGTTCCTCTAATATTTTATTAATTCTCTTTGAATGAAGCATGGCCCAGTGAATATAATTAGAGTGTTCTTTTGTTGACCGTTTAGTCAATCTATACAACCACAGTCTCTATATGTACCATTAAAGGTATTTAATGCTATATTAATGTCATTGTAGATACAATAATAATAGGTTGTAATAAAATAATGAAAGTCTTTTGTACGATTTTATAACACACTATTGTCTAAGGTTAACTGTATCAATTACCTTTCAAGTGTATAGCCATATATAAGGCGATTAGTAAGTCAAACTAATTGTTTATTACCCTGGGGGGTATCAATTTATTTATCATTTTCTATAATTGTGTAATAAAATGTTACATCAAACAAATTTCTTGGCATAGCTACTTAGACAATGCATTTTTTTTGTTATCAACTAGCCGACCCACGCATCAACGCTGCGTCACTTTTTATTGTGCTCCGTTTCTATTGCCCACAGCACACCTAAAGTTATATAGTTTAGAGCTTTTCTCGATAAATAGGCTATCAAACACTAATAAAGGTTATCTATTTGAAATATTTTTTTTGGTTGAACACGTATCTTTGGGACTACCTAAAGATACGTGTTCAACCAACAAAATTTCAGCTTAGTAATAGATAAACAAAAGTGAAATAAAATTGTTTTGATTACATTTGTTAGTATACATAAGTATAATTAATACTACTGTTATGACTTATCAATTGCTACTTAGGCTGTTTAGGTAAATATGGTTTAAACTTGCCTAACGAATAAATTTGCAATGTTTATGAATGTAGTAGTATGTAATGTAAGTAATTCTCAATGAGCTTTGCATAAACGAATGAAAGTACTCATATATTTGTACGAAACCCTCAGGGCGCGAGTTTTACTTGCCCTTTTTATACAAGATTTTTACCATGAAACAACGATTTTATTTTTTCAGAGAGCTTAAAATATACTGTCTCATTTTAAATTAAAAAGACATATGAGACTAACATTTTATCCATATTACTTATTTTTTTTATGTAGATTGTTATTTTAATTAATTTAATTCTCGAATAACCATTAAGCATGGTAAAAAGCTTTGGTTATAAACCACAGATTCTGACTTCCAAATCAAAATTGAAAACTCGCTCATACTAAAAACAATTCAAATAGTAATTTTTTCTCAGAGGAAACTGTACATAATATTCCATAATTACCATAGAAAACAATCGTATTGACATTTACTACTTGCAGCAGTCGGTTGGGTATATACTTCCATTTAGAATCTGATTTTTTTAAGTTGATTGAAGTTAATATTAAGTAATAATGTAATTAATTAAAAAAATATGTATTGTATTTCTAACAACTATAGAAAAGGCCCATACAAATTTTTATACCTATATTAGACGCTATTTTACAGGGGAAGGAACCTTATCTATTACAATAAGAATCAATAAATTATCTTCAGTCTTGGCAAGGATGTCAACGTGACAGAAACACACCAAAAATATCCATGAATAGAGAATGCTTCTGTCATTTGGCAAACAGTAGAAAATGTTAATAGGATGAATATATCACGACAGTGTGGAACCGCCTCTTCATTCTGATTGTATGATATTAAATTGTATTCAATTATTTGTTTACAAATCTATCAACGCTCATGTAAACATAAAATTCCTATTCCATTTCAATACATAAAGATAGACAGTCGTATATTGTTGTACAGGGACAAATATTTGTGAAAATTCTATTAAGAAGAGTTCAACACATTTTCATTATTTGTTCTATTATTTCGTGGAAAATGAGAAATTCTCATGTTGTTTTAGTTTTGTTGTATATTGGACTCGCTTCCGGATTTATCGATCCCTCGGGTGCTGCAGAGGTGAGTAGCAAAACACGAGATTATTACGAAGTTTAATTTTAAAATATTTCTAGTAGTGAATGTAAAATTTATTGCCAATTGTTATAATTGGCGAAGTGAAGAAGTGTGAGTGCAACACCCAACAGAGTTCCTCTTATATTCTGTAAACAGGTTTTAATTATAGGACATATACATAACATTTATTGCGTAATTCACTTACATTAGGAAATTTCCGGAACCATAATACGTAGGTATATTTGATATGTGGTCGCTAAGTTCATCGTTATACGGAAGCATGCAGTCAGAGAGGATTTGTGGAAATTCCAGTAAATAAAAGTTTCGCGCGGTGAAACGGTTTCATCTATTAGGTACAAGTATTAATTTATACATGTCTATTCTTATATTCTACTTACAGAATGGGGAAAAAACTGACAGCACACCAAGAAGTACTTCAGTTGCAGTAGTCGGAGCTAGTCCTCAAGAGAAAATGAAGTCCTCTTGCAATAAGCCGTATACATTGAATTTAGAAAATAGGAAGAATTCATTGAATGAGGATGAGTTATTTGAACAAGCAACTGAAAAGCAAAGTAATGTTAATGAAAGGTCGTTTATTTATATAAATCAAAAGTTTAGAACACCTATTTTAATGCGTTACAATTTGCAAGATTTAAAAAACAAAAGACACAAGACACTCTTTTCTGATATGGATACATTAGATTTTAATAAACTCCTTCAGAGATCTTCAGTTCACCCTGAAGAGTTTTCTAAAAGAGGTCGTTTTCATTCAAATAGAGAAGGAATTTCTCAATACTTTCCTACATTTCAATATCAAAAGTTTCATGGAAATACTAACGAAGGAAATGTAAATAGACATATTAATGAAGTAAATGAAATTATAAGAGACTATAATAATAAAACCAATCTCAGAATAGATGATCGTCGTCAATATTTAGAACTTCTTAAAAAGCCTATTACAAGAAATAATATTAAAAATAATACTGGAGTGACTAAGTCCATAATAAATAACAACACGCGTACGACGACTCGTGTAGTACCTGGAAAATTATTCCCTCCATATTATAGCATTACTAATAATATACTACCGCAAACAGATTCAACTAATGATAAAGAAAGCTCCGATGTAGTAAAGAACTACCGTATACCAAATAAATATGATAATTATCAAGTTGTTACATATAGAAATAAAATGCATAGAGATCATGATAAACTTAATGACGAAGTTGTGGCAGAAAGCAATTCAAAATATTCAAATTATTTTGATGATGACGATTTATTATATGCGTATCTGAAGGAATCAAAATATTAAAACTGAATGAAAAACATTTAGCTGCAGTGCTTTCTAACAAGAATGCAATGTTAAATACCCACAGGTAGGTATATCTATAAATATGTGCATTAGGAAAAATGTTAAATGACTGAATAGTATGTAAATAAGCTCAGTTCATGGATTTTAATGACATGAATTTATAAGTGATTCGATATTTGGAAACGAAGTAACCAATTAGAAAATAGCTAATATAATTTTCATCAAAAATAAAAATCTATTATTTTTAATCATGGTTCTTTATTGATTATGTCTTATTTTATAGAATATGTCTTATATAATTTATTAATATATATGTAAATATAAAACTACATAGGCTGCAAAAATAATCTGTCCCGATATGAAATTACTTATATTATTTGTTAATTATTTTATATCTATACTAACACTATAATAAGAGAGAGAGAGTGAGAGAGAGAGAGAAAGGGAGAGAGTGAGGATTTTATCATGAAGAAAGTAAACAAACCACTGCACCGACTTGAGAACTTCTTTTTATTTGTAAGGTACAATCACAGTAACATAGCTTGTTATGGTAATGTATACGAAACTTATAAAGTTATGAGCTTCTGGGCAAGCCACTAGCAAGACATAAGTATGGAGTGTGTAGGTATGTGAGTAGACAGCGTGATGCACGCGGCGTGGCGTGGGTAGATCATGCATTCATGATAACAACCGCTCAAAGTTATCACGATTAAGATCGCTGCGCGCGCACTTGCCTCTCACTACAGCGTTTGTTGCTTCGAGAAATGAAAAGCAAACACTGCAGAACGCCAACAGATGTCCAGATAGCCAATAGCATCATCGAAGAGTTATAGTCCATATGGAAATGTCTATATTTACTAGAAGTTAAATTGTTATAAAGTGTTTACTCTCATCTTACAAATGACTTGATTGACTAATTCTTACTGCAACATATTGATTGAGCTGTGATAATAAAAATATCGTAAGATTTAGCATACGTTTGTGTGGTCCGCAGAATCTACGTTCCTGTATATATTCGAATTCAAAATGTATACTTTTTATAAGGATTGCTTGAGCGTTAAAAGGTAATAAAAACAGTGAAAGTTGATTTAATGTACCATATTTTGATTATACAACAAAGCGCAGCCTATTTTCCTGAAATTTAGCACACTCATGCTTGGCATAGGACAGTAAAAACACATATAATAGTACTTTGTACAGTCAAGAAATACGTAGACTAAACGAAAACGAAGAATGTGTATAAATTAGAATAAGATAAAAAAACTATTCTGAATATATTAATCTATTTAACAATTGTGGACATATGGTCAAAAATTATTATAATTCTAATTATTTTTATGATCCTAATCATACTGGCATAAAGGCAAGAACGCCATATTGAAGTATGTCTTTATCTGAAAATAACGCATACAATTATATATTTTGAAGTAGATAAAGTTAATATGTTACAATGAAATGAAATATTTTAATTACTATATATTACCTTTTATTAAAACACATACTAACATTACAAATATAATTAATGAAGGTCTGTCTGTTATCACGGCTAAACGAATGTATTATCTATATTTGCTCAAAAAAAAAGTAAACGAAGTGCCGGATGACAGAAAGTATTATGTATAGGTTTCTTGAATTACACAGGAGCATAAAATATTAGTCAAATTTATAAATAACTAAATAAGTTATTTACAAATTTAAGTTATTTATA